GCTAACAAAAAGGATTTTTACACACGAAAATGTGTAAACGACAAAAAATACATATTCATCGTGTAAATTTACCAAAACATTTTAAAAATTAACAAAAATATACTCAATTTATAGTCGCACTTTTAAACAGACTTTTTTAGAGTAGCGTGGCGACGAATAGCTGTTGCCCAGGTTTTTTTTTTTGAGAAATAAAAGGGTCATTTATAGCTTTTGCGAAAAAAGTATTTTATTGTAAATTCTCCACAGATTTTACTTTAGTTGTATCAATTAGTTTTTAAATATTAAGCCTTAATAACATTTGCCAGCAGTGTAAACTTTGAGAGAAAAGTTCATTTGGCACGCCAGTGTTTTTCAGGACTATTTTTTTAGGCATTGTATAAAAAATGACAAAAAAAGAAAAACTGTATAGGCTGTTCGAATGAATGGCCGTCCTAGTCACCAGTTCCGAGTGTATTCGATTTTTGTGTATGAGGCCTTATGCTAAACAGAAGAGGGAGTATAAGGGACTCAATATGAAGAAAATTAGCATATGGTTACAGAAGATATAGAATAAATTAATTGAAAAAGACCTGCGTGCCAAATGACCTTTACTTTCAAAATTTACACTGCTGGCAAATTTTTTTATTATTATTATTTATTTATTACAGCTCTCTTGAAGCTAATTCATTACAATATATGTAGACTTAACCTAGTTATTTAATATTACATTGCTTAAGCCTAATGAAATCATTTGGAAGGGCATTCATACATGGCAATTACAAGTTGAAATTACGGAACAATAATAAACGGAAAACAGATATAAAGTAATACATTACATTATATTGGGATAGATTTACAAAATTAAAGCAACTTTCTTTTAAACTCATTGATGTTTTTACATTGCTTGACAGTATTTGGTAATTCATTATAACTTTTAAGACCCTTGTAATAAAGATTACATATATCAGATTCGCTTTAAATTGAATTCATTTTTCTTACGTGTATCTTTGTTGTGCACATTGCTGCCATACTTTAAGTTAATCTTTAGGTATTCTGGTAAATTATCTTCAATAACGTTTTTAACAAATTTCATCGTATAATAAAAGTGCTGTTGTTTCACACTTAGCCAACCAAGGGCTGATAACATGTCTCTAATGGGCGTGTCATATCGTTTTCGAAGAATGAATCGCATTGCTTGGTTCTGTTGTTTCTGCAATTTATAAATTTGGCTATCATGCATTATGAAGAAAATTGGACAATAATTGAGGAGAGGTTTTATTATTGATCCGTATACCATTATTTTATATTTCCTTTTCAGTAATTTGCAAGTACGTCGCATAAAGTACATTATTTTTTTTGCTATTTTGCTTACGGTATAGTCAATATGATCATTGAACTGTAGCTTCTCATCAATTTTTATACCCAAGTACGTAAAGCTCCGCACCCTTTCTATTTTTTGTTGGTTTATGTTTAAATTACGAAGTTCATGCATATCAATATTTCTTCTGGATATGACCATGTATTTGGTTTTACTTACATTTATTTTAAGTTTGTTTAAACATAACCAATTATATATTTTATTTAAGTCATCTTGTAGTTTTGAAGCAATATCAGTAATATGGTCACCACTTAACATGATTAACGTGTCATCAGCGAAAAGATTAATATCACAATATTTAATACCGTTGGCAATATCATTTATGCATATATTAAATAATATAGGTGCTAGCACTGAGCCTTGAGGTAGACCAACCACTATACTTCTTTTGTCAGATACCGACGATCCAATCTGTGTTCTCTGGTAACGACTTGTAATAAGACTTTGAAACCATTTTAGCTCAACGCCCCGTATCCCTATAGTACTCAATTTATTTAAAAGAAACTCTTGATCTATGGTCTCAAATGCGCGCTTTAAGTCTAAGAAGACAGCAACTATGTATTTATTTCTGCTCAATTCTTCTTTCCAGCGAGCTAATACTAAGTTTAGTGCAGTTTCACACGAGTGCCTTTTCCTAAAACCAGACTGTTGTGGCATTAATATTTTATTAGTTTCTAAATATTCTATTAGTTTTTTTTTTAACTACGGTTCAAGCATTTTTTCATCACTAGGCAACGTATTATTTGGTCTCATCTCGTCGGCTCTGATTGTGTTCTTGACTTTCTCAATTGGCACAACAATACCATATTTTAGGCTTTCATTAATTAACTGCGTGTAAAAGTACCCTGTATATGTTATAGAGTATTTTATGACTCCCTCAGATAATAGTTTTTTCCTCCAATTTTATTTTTAAATCCACTGACAATTTCAAGCACTTCATCGGTTTCGATTTCTATAAATTTAAAGTTATGTGTGCAATTTGGAGTCGTAAAGGATTCTTTTTTACCAGGTTCTATATTTGAGGTAATTTCAATAATGCTGTCAATAAAGTAGTTATTTAGTGATTGTGCAATCTCATTTTCCGTTGTGTACAAGGTGTTATGAATTAACACTTTATTAATGGCGTTTATTTCCTTTGACATACTTATGCAATTTTTTAGATGCTTCCACATTGATTTGCTATCTCCAATATTAACTGTTATTTTATGCTCCAAGTATTTAACATTTTAAACCTTCAAGAGGATGGGTATCTACGTTTGATTGTATTATGGTCACTCCAGGCCCCTGTTTCTAATGCTATCCTGTAAAGATTATACTTTTGTTTATTAAGGTTTGCTAATTCAGCATCATACCACTTGTTCATGAGCTTAAGCCTTATTTCTTTAGTGTATGTTAGAGTGCCCATTGAATGCGACAAGACATTAGTTAAAAATTTCGATTTATCATCGATGCTTAATTTCGAAAAATCCCTGTAATTGTATTGCCTCAGTTGGTGAAGAAGATTATCACTTGTGTAATTTTCCCAAGATATAATAAATTTGTTTGCTCTCGTTTTATATATTTTCTCCAACTCGATCTTGACATAAATTGTCTCATGATCGGAGCTCCGATGCATATCCATTCTTTGACACGAAATGTTTTTGCTATTGGTAAATAATAAATCAATCATGGTTTCGACCTCTTCCGATTTCCTAGTATAAAAATTAATTTTCTGAACCATTGAGAAGGACTGAAATAACTCTACCAATTTTTTACTGTATGTTGTAGCTTTATGTAGATTTATATTGAAGTCTCAAATAAATACAGTATTATCATCTAGGCAAGTATTGTTTGAAATTTCACTGAGGTAGCTGATAAAGTCAGCATCGCTAGAATTTGGCGAGTGATATATTACCCCTATTGGGTATTTCGGGGTAACATTTCCAATTTTTAAAAGAAGACACCAAATATTCTTATCCCACGCGTAATTAACGACAGTTTCATATTTAATTGAGTGATGGACGTAAATTAAAACACCGCCTGTGTGTTTACTATTCGGGTTGCATCTAATTAGGGTGTAGGTTTCTACCTGTATTTCGTGGTTTGTAATGCCTTCGGTCAAACAGGTTTCTGAACATAGCACCAAATGGGGCTTACAAATTTCTATTAGTTTCTCAAGTTCACACTTATTAGCTGTAATACTGTTTATGTTTAAATAAATGATATTCAGTACATGAATACTTCGTTGCTAAACTTTAGTTTTGCTTTTGGCTTGAACGTATTTTTGGTATGCAGGGCAATCCAAACTGAATGCTGAGTGATTTACATTAACATCTATTACTTTTTTCTGAACAAGTTCACAACAATTTACACACCTTATTTTATCAGAGCCGCAATTCTTAACATCGTGATTTCCAGCACATCTACTACATGCCTTTTTATTTGTACAATCACTTGACTTGTGCTTATAACCCAAACATTTAAAGCATCTCATAATATTTAGATGCTCAAATAACATGCAAGTGTCCCATTCGATATTTACTTTTTTACGTTTCAAGACACTTTCATAGGTTAAAGCATCTGTTTCAACTAGAATGTTGAAGCTTTCTTCTCTTCGCGTTCTATTTTCGTATACTTTCAGTACTTTCAACTACTTTCCCAAGAACTCATCATTTTGCTTAGTTAGACATTCTATTATGCGATCATTATTTATTTTTTCGGTTAACCCAACTATTTTCCGTATCTTTTTTATTTCATCTTTTCCTTTAGCTTTCTGGGCCTGGAACTCCGTTCCAATACTATCTCTTATTTTTTGATCGACTTTTTCGCAAGTATCTTTATTTTTACGTTCTAAAACTATTCCCACTCTATTAATTTCTTTCACAGTCTTAACAAGACCGTCGGTGGGTTCGATTACCTTTTTCAGCGCCTCTTTTGTTTCCTTAACGTTTTTGTTTTTGTTTAAGGGCTTTATAACAATTTTATTTTCATTTGTTTTGACAGCTTGGGCATATGATATTGGGGCATTTTCCTTACTAATTACTGGCTGAATGTTTTTTACCAAGTCATTACATTTTTGCAGTTCACTAGAAATTTCCTTAATGATTTCATTTTTCACAGCATTAATTCTCACTCCAATGTTATGTTCCAGAAATGTATTAAAGTCTGAAATAATACTCGTTTTTATTTGCGTACATTTGTTGTTAATCAGTTGCTCCAAAACTTGTTTTACATCAGCCGCCTTCAACTTAGATTGCTCACATTTACTTATTAAATGTTTGATTTTGATAAATTTCGTATTCGCATCAGATAAAGTACACTTATTACAAAACCATTTCAAATTAGTATTTTCCGAGATTATTTTAATTTCATTCCTTTTAATATTGCTACATTTTAGACAGAAATTATAGCCACACCCACCAGAGCATGTTATCATTTCATCTAATTGAAACAATTTGGCAGTACATTCTTTACATTCTACTGTTGGCATTTTGCCACTTTTTACTGTGGCAATATACCCTAAGTTAACGTATGGGAATAATATATACTAACCACAATACACAAGTTTATGGCAATTTCAATAATTTTATGATATGAGCAATTGCTACTATAACCTAAGCGTAAAACTAACTTGCCAGCACTCTGTTTCCAGCTGATCAGCTGTTTCGATTCCAAGAAGTAGTTGACGTTTGTTGATATGAAATGATGAGCAAAGGGCATCAATTGCGAATATGATGGCAAAGGACAGTGTAACAAAGGAGAGAATCTGAACAGAGGAGCGCCCTCGGGTACGCAAAGGAAAACCAAAAGGGATGGAGATTAATCCGAATTGTCTTGGATTTAGTGGCTCCAATGCTCTTTTGCGGAGGTGTCCAAAGCAGATCTGCTGCAGATTGTTCCCTGTGCCTTCCCAATACCAACAATTGCAGCTTGACTTACCTTTGTTAACCCAGCTATCGCCGCAGCAAAAACAACAACAGCAAAACAAACTATTTTATTTATGCAACTTTTTGTTCGCTTATTTGTTTTGTTTGTATGTTTATTTATGCGCCACTCACTTCAGTTGATTCAGCTTGCACTTAAATGGTACTGTTGTACATAAAATGTATAAAATACAATTCTTTTAACTATTTAAAATGAGAATATCTAGCGCGAGCGTAAAACACACATCTGTTCCGTTTACTATCCATTCCGAAATAGGGATTAAAATTTAAAAACTAATTAATACAACTAAAGTAAGATCTGTGGAAAATCAACAATAAAATACTTTTTTCGCGAAATCTATAAAGGACCTTTGTATTTCTCAAAAAACCTGGGTAACAGTTATTCGTCGCCACGCTGTATATCTATTGTACATACATTAGGGTGCCCATCGAAAATGCATTTTTTTTTGGAAATTTCAAGACCCTACCCCATAACTTTATTAAGTTTTGTGAGAAATATTATTGCCAATTTTTATAGATTTTTAAAGGCCATTTAGATGTGTGGGCAAGGCATTCATCAATATTTCTTCAATATTGATATA